AAATATATTTATTTTTTTTATTCAGATTTATCTATATGAGGTATGAAAGAGTAAGTATTTTATTAAAATACATTTATTTATTTTTATGTAGATTTATCTCATAGATATATTTAATAGTAAGTATTAAGCTTATATATATATTTATTTTTTTTTAGATTTTTCTCATTGCAATATTCAACGATCAGTATTCTATTTAAGTAAATTTTTTTTTTGTCTAGATTTATCTCAATTCAGTATTTAACAGTCAGTATTTTATTTAAGTAAATTTATTATTTTTATTTAGCTTTATCTCAATGAAATATTTGATAGTAAGTAATTCATTTGAATAAATATATTCTTTTAATTTAAACTTATCTTAATGAGATATGAAACAGTAAGTATTTTATTCAAATAAATAAATTTATTTTTTTTTATTTAGATTTATCCCATAAATATATTCAATAGTATTTTGCTTAGATATATTTAGTTTTTTAAAGATTTTTCTCATTAAAATATTTAGCAGTAAGTATTCTACTTAAGTAAATATATTTGTTTATTTTAGGCTTATCTCACGGTCAGTTCAGTATTTAACAGTACGTCTTTTATTTAAATAAATAAATTTATTTATTTTTATTTGGATTGATTTCATTAATAGATTCAATAGTAAATATTTTGCTTAAATAAATATTTTTTTCATTTAGATTTCTCCCATTGAAATATTTAACAGTAAGTATTTTATTTAAAAAAATATAGTATTTTTTTATTTAATTTATCCCAATGAAATATACATTAGGAAGTATTTTATTTCAGCAAACAAATATTGTTTCTTTTGTTAACGGAAGGTGAGGAGAGGACGAAGTATCGCGCTACTCTTCACGGACAGCAGACGGCAAAAGATAAATAAAGTTGTAAACGAGAAAAACTAGTGTAAATAAGACACTACTCGGCGAGAATACTGCCACAATACTATTCATCGTTACTTGCCGGAAACGGCCTTAAACGGCGTCGTTTACGTTCCGGGGAAAACGGCCCTCAATCCGAGCTGACGGAAAACGGTCAAAAAAAGGTGAAAAACGACGGTCCTTTTTCATCGTTTATGGCAGTTATCACGCCGTTTTTTCATCGTTTTAGGCAGTTTAAGACGTCGTTTCAGACGGTCGGAATGATCGACCTGGGAAAGATTAAAAATTAAACAATCATTTTATTTAAAAATACAACAAAGAAAAAACATTCTTGTTTATCATATAATCAATTTTTTTCAGTCACATCTTGTTTAAAAATACAAAAAACTCTAGTTTATTACATATTAAAAAATAAAAGAAAGAATATAACAAAAAAAAAAGAGTCGCCATCAGATTATGTACATATATACAACAGCATAAAAACTCTATGCATTTAATTGAAGATAGAGTACGTCATTAGAAAAAAAACTCATAATTTTGATTTTTGAAATCATAATCTATATCAAGGTTAACTCGAAAATATTTTGTGGTAAGAGACCGAGGTCAAAAAAAAGAAACTATTCGTAACTTTTTATATGCGTCAGACACATAAAAGTCAACAACAAAAATACATTCATCTGCTTCTTAAAAAGCATTTGCCTATTATAATATCTAGATTAAATAGAAGAATATGAATGGAAAAAAAACTATTGTCAATTATCATTTTAATTCATGGTTTAAATTAAATAAGAATACTTTAATTTTTAAATAAGATGAAGCTAACTATTTAAAATGAAGTAAAGAAATTATTAAAATTAATTAAAATACTACTAAAACGATCGTTTATGCCCAATTTAGATTAAGAATAATGTTATGAAGATTTAAAAGACTTGTCTCGAAATAAATGTGAGGAAAAAAAACTTAACGAGAAAACTTATATATTAATAATTAATTAATAAGTTGTTTAATTTTGAAATTAATCAATATTTCATTTTCTAGAATAACAAAAAATAAATATTTTATTAAATAAAGAATTATTTACTTGGTACCTAATTAAGACCATTTGTTCAACCATAATAGTGTCAGAATCTATTGGCCAAAGCGAGTCCTAATTGGAAAAAAATTCATAGGGCTTAAGAAGACAATATAGCTAACCTCCGTATCTTTGCCGATTATAATGTCATCATTTATTGACGTATTTACAACTTGTGTTGTTGTATTATTCAAGTGTTGAGCACCATTGAATGATATTTGTGTATTACCAAAATGGATTTGATTAAACGGCATATTAATTACTGTTGTTGCTTGTGTTGGAAGAACCATATTTCTTCTGCCTGGTATCAGAACTAATGATGAGGTTGGAAGAAGAGTAGATGATGATTCTGCTATCACAGTATCGATATAGTCCATGATAACAATCTAAAAATCAGAATTTTAAAATGAGTTTCTAATTGAACATAATGCTATCAGTTTACAATCGAAAGAAATGACTATTGATTTGGAAGATTGAATTTGATTAGCTTTTTTCCTTTAAAGATATTAAAATCACAAAATGATGCAAAATAAAGAGCTGGTCAACAACGCAACACTATTGAAGTATATTAATAATTTTATTTTACTTGGAAAATTCTTTCTTTTGATTGTTCATGCCAATACTATCTATGACATCAATTCTTATTCATTGATTCAATGGAACATCTTTACTTTTAGTTATGGTATCAATAATAATAATAATAATAATAATAATAAAACAAATATCCATATTCTGTTACAATAGATGTTTTGAAATTTTTATTATTATTTTTTCTTTCTTTCTTACTCATCTAGCTGTAAAACATCAGATGGCGCTTTTGTTTCATTATTCTGTCTGATAATATGTCTTCGATTAATGTACAATTATGTTTGCAATATCGTACGATGCTAGTAATTCGAATATTGAATAAATTTTTTGTTCTCATAATTAGATCAAAGATTGTTGAGTTTCTTTTAAAAAATCTTGTCTTTCACACATACAAAATAATTATTTTTACAATGAAACTTAAAAAAATAAGATAAAAAGAAACAACAAAAATATCAAGTCTCGGTATTCTTATCTTTGATGTTATTTATTATTTAAATAGAAAAAAAAATATATATATAATTTTGTGATCAACGCAATTTTAGTTCTGAAAAAAGCAAACAAACAAATATTATTCTTCAGAATCAACATAAAAATTTGTATTGCGAACGTCTACTGAATAGTCGAATCTAATATTGTCGTCAGAATTAAAGAGAGATAAATATAAGCTCTATAATTTGATAACAGCAATAGTTAGGAACCTGCGCATTTCAGTGATCGATAGAATAGACTCTAGGACATCTTTTTTGTTTGACAGATGACCACTCGAATTGTTCTTTGAACGCTAGATTTGAAGTCCCTCTATTTGATACACATATCAAAATTAAAATTGCATCGAACGAAACATCGTTTTCATAAGGTTTTTCTTAATGTTTTGCGAAAATAAGATTCAATACAGATTTTTCAGTTCATTCTAAATATGATATTTGCTACTTTGAGAATTGAAATTCCAATAGTCAGTAAAGTATGTACAGGTTTTTTTTTCTAAAATATATGACAAGTAAAAAAAAATGAGGCTGTTGAAATTTAATGTTTTTGTCGTGTTCCAATTCTAATTTTTTTTAACCTGCTTTTTCTGAGATTCACTACAATAATATCATTTTGTATATACCAAACACAATATTTTTTTTTAGGCAATTCGACGAACTCTATGTAATCATAATTAAGATAAAATTATGAATTTTTGATACTTTAGTCATTTTCAAATTGATTTCTCTTGATTGAGACAATAATATTTTAAGTGAAATTTCATAAGATTTCAATAAAATTATCTGCCATAAAAAAACCCAGTGCCATATCTCTAATTAATATTGCTCATTACTAAATTTGTAATTGATTTTTTCTGCTTTTTCTTTTTTGATTAAAAAAGTTTATAACGAATATAAGAAAATCACAGTTTAAAAATGACAAATGTAACTTCAGTGATATTTGTAATTTCTTCATTCACCTTCAGTATATCTCTCAATTACTTTCAAAATGATTTATCTTTACTCTTTATTTGCGATAAACGAATACTAAAAATACAAATGTTTTATCAGAAGAAACAAAATTTTTTTTCTTCTATCGAATCTTATATGATCTAAGTCATAAGTATGATGACTTGATAGGAAAGAGAAGTCTTCTCTCAAAATAAGTCTACGAGTTTTATCAAATATAGAATACCGATATCAAACCTGATGTCTTATTAATAGATCGATGTTGAAACAAATGTTTTGTGTTTTGATTGATTGATAGAACTCATTCTTCTTGTTCGGACTCTATATAAATTAATTTTTGTTAATGATTCATCAAGGAAATGACACAAGAAGGGAAAAAACAATAATCTCATAATGGAGTGTTGGAATTTTCAAATTGATTCATCGAGAAAGTCATGACAAATTTCATAAAACAAATGATTTCAAGGACAATAATCGAATGAATATTTGCATATACAAGTGTAGGTAGACCAAGGGGGAAATCACGTACTCCGGTACTCCCGTACTCCCATACTCCCATTGTACTCCCGTACTCCCATTGTACTCCCTGGACTCCGGGAGTACATGGGAGTACAGGGAGTCCAACATAAGGGTGGGAGTTTAACTTTAACTTTAACGTTAAAGTTAAAGTTAAAGTAACATACTTTAACACTTTAACGTTAAAGCAAGGGAGAAATCACGTACTCCCCTACTCCGCTGTACTCCCGTAGTCCCATTGTACTCCCTGGACTTCAGGAGTACACCGAAGTACAAGGAGTCTGTGAAATACAATTCTTATGTAGGAGACCGTATCACAGGTATCTTCGTCAATCACTTTAAGTATTCCTATTTCTTCTTGAATGGGATACTCATAAGTTCCCATGACCTATGCTTTGGGAGCACCCATAAGTCTCCATGGCCTATCCTATGGGGTACCCATAAGTTCTCATGACATATCTTTTGGAGGTACCATAAGTCTTCATGGCCTATCCTAGGAAGGTACTCACAATTCACCAAGGGCTATTGATGTTTGGTATTGTTAGGTTTTCAAGCACTGTCTTGCGGTAGTTCCAGTTACTCTCCAAGCATTATTTCGTAGAGGAATGTCGGATACCGCTAACTGTTAAGGAGATATCTAGCGTTAATCGTCATAGATTTTCAAGGGCTTCTAGGTAGGAACACAAACTGTGATAAGAACGCCACTCATATCCAAGGGGAAACAGCAGACTCCCAGATTTCGTGCTCCTAGGGATTCCTCGGAACTCCCAGAGACCCCTTGGGACTTCCGCGGACTTCTGGGCTTTCCAGGATTTCATGAGATTTCTTCGAATTCTGAGGGACTTTATGGGGCTTCCAGAGATTTCCTTGGAATTCCTTTGGGTCTTCTCGCTACTTCGACATATTCAGGAGTAGTAGCACCCACATGTATCATGCTGGTCTGACTGTTCAGATCAAAGGTTAAGGGTCAAAGGTTAAATACTAATGAGAAGAAACTGATGTGTACCGAGCTGCGCTCCTGTATTTTATGAGACACCTTGGAACTCTTTGAGATTGCTTGGGAGTCCTTGAAACTCCTCGGGACTTCTAGGGACTCGTGGAGTCCGGGAGTCTGCTATTTTCCCTTGCTTATAGTATTCTCATAGGATAGCTCATGAGGACTTATGGGTACCTCCATAAGAGAGCCCATGTGGACTTATGAATACCCCTATAAGATGCATCGTACTTCCTGGATTTCAAGGATTCCCATTGTACTCTCAGGGATCCGGAATCTTGGAAATCCACTTTTTCACCCCTGCGTTCACCTATAAGAAAGACGAAAAAGAGGAATGCGATGTCTCGTCCACTACATACCACTCTAGTTGCTTCGTCTACTAAACAACCTATTATTCAATGGGAAGACGGCTGACTTCGGATCCATCAAAAGTGCCAAACATGTATTAAAAGCATCGAAGTTGGCTCACGAGAATCGCAACAAGACTCAGAATAACAAAATTAGGTATGGAGTATGACTTGGAGTATCGGAGTATTAGTCAGAGTATTGGAGTACGCCCGGAGTATCTGAGTTTGGTGGAAATACCAAAGGATGAACCCATTTTGAGGTGCTTACAGTTAATTGCTTCGTTGCTTCTTTTCGATCATTATGATTCTCAAACGTGAAATGAAGTGTAGCCGGAATTACAGGTATTGACTACTGACTTGAAACTCCCATACTGCAATAGTTCAATAATATTTCGATACTCCGGCTCGTATTCCAGTACTCCGATGAGACTCCGGCGTTACTCCAGTACTCCAAACCGAAATCCAACACAAAGAGTAAAGTTGATAATTTGAATCATACTACTGACGAGGGAGGGTCGCCAACTGATCAATCGCTTTTGAGTCGGAACTATGTGCATCATATAGGTCCTAATGAGCTATGAATACTCTAAAAAGAGTTCGGGTCACTAGCTTATTACTGTCGAGATACTGCATTTTTACGATATTGTTAAGCAAAATGCTATGGTCCCTCTCAGGAACACCAGCAAAACTGAGTTTTGAATTTCGACTTGAAATTTGGCAGAGAAACAGACCTCAATGAGAGTAGTTTATTGTGAAAGTTTCAGGTCTTTTGGTTGTTCCTATTCTGAAATAAGAACATCGAAACCTGTCGGGGATATACGAGCAGTGTAAAAACACTCTTTTTAGCTGTATCTTAGGATAGGAACAACCAAAAGACCTGAAACTTTCACAATAAACTACTCTCACTGAGGCCTTTTTCTGTGCAAAGTTTCAAGTCAAAACTCGAAACCCAGTTTTTCTGGTTTCTGAGGGACCACGGCATTGTGCTTAATTAAAAATACCACAAACATGCAGTATTTCGACAATACTAAGCTAGCGGCCCGAACTCTTTTCAGAGTATTCATAGCTCATTAGGACCTATATGATACACATTGTTCCGACTCAAAAGCGATTGATCAGTTGGTGACCCTCCCTCGCGAGACACATGATGGAAGATGGTAGATTCTCACTGAAATGCCCATTGCGAACAACACAAAGCATGTCTTAGCTGCTGGAGTACGATGTGAAGTACGGTCCGAAGTACCAGAATACGAGCTAGAGTATCGGAGTATCTGAGATCCTGGAGTGCCGCTTCCCCCTTGCTATTATTCGAGGTCGTTTAAAAATTAAAACAAGGAAAAAAGCAGTCTTGCAATACTTTCTCAAAAAATATTCGGAATAAACTATTACGTTCGTTGTATTCCCATGTACTTCCTGTACTTTCGCGTACTCTCTGTGCTCTGGGAGTACTCGGAGTGAGGGAGTACGTGTTTTCCTCCTTGATTCGAGATCGTTTATAA